AATTTATTGTACCTTCCTGAGATAGAGAACCATTTTCTTACCCTTGACCTCGTATGACTCCTTTATTTGTTACATGACAAGCTGGGAATCGCTGTTGATCTCCAACTGCTCTACCTCCATTGAATGAGCAAGGTTGAGCCCAGCAATGACAGCTTCATATTCAACCCAATTGTTTGAAGCCTTAAACCCAAACCTGAGGGCATATTCCACATCTATTCCATCTGATGAGGTCAGGATCAATCCTGTGCCGCTTCCTTAGGTATTGGCAGCTTTGTCTACTGAAAGTTTCCATACGGGAAGGTCAGGTATTAGCAGTGTGGCTTCCGCGGGTGTTACTACAGTGAATTCTGCGATGAAATCTGCTAAAATTTTCCCTTTGATTGCAATCCTTGGCTTATACCTAATATCAATTTTGCTGAGCTCTATTGCCCACTTAACTAGTTTTCCTGAAGACTCTGGTTTACGCAGCACTTGCTTCATTGGACGATATGTTGGAAACTCAATAGTATAAGCCTGGAAATATGGTCTAAGTCTCCTAGCCGTAGTCACTAGGGCCAAAACTAGCTTCTCTATCTTTGGATATCTCTCCTCTGCCCCCCTTAGAGCTCTACTATAGTAGTACACTGGTTGCTGAGCTCTGTCTCGCTCCCTAACTAGTGTTGTGCTAGTTGAGAAATCCAAGAAAACTAAATAAAGAGTAAGCATTTTCCCTTCCAAGGGGCTTATTAGGATAAGAGGAGAGCTTAGGTACTCCTTCAGTGCTTTGAACGCTTCCTCACACTAGGTATCCCACTGAAAAGCCTTCTTCAACACGTGAAAGAATGGTTGACACTTGTCACTTGATTTAGATACAAAACGACTCAAGGTGGCTATCCTTCTTGTCAAGCTTTGGATCTCCCTGATATTGGACGGTGGTCGCATATCCAGAACTGCATTAACCTTTTCTGGGTTAGCCTCGATTCCTCTGCTGTTGACTATGAATCCTAAAAGCTCCCTGCTGATACTCCAAAAGCGCACTTTACAGGGTTAAGTCTCATCTTGTACTCCTTAAGAATTTGGAACGATTCTGCTAGGTGCTCGATGTGCAGCTCTGCCTTCAGTGATTTTACAAATATGTCGTCGATATAGACCTCTATGGATGTCCCAATTTACTTCTGGGACATTCTATTCACTAGGCGCTAATCGGTGGCTCCAACATTCTTTAATCCAAAATGCATGACCTAATAGTAGTAAGTTCCCTGTTCAGTCACAAATGAAGTCTTCTCCTGGTCCGCTGGGTCCATCCTAATTTGATTATAACCTGAGAAAGCATCCATGAAGCTGAGAAGCTCATGCCCAACAGTTGCATCCATGATCAAGTCGATTCGAGGTAAGGGAAAGCTGTTCTTGGGGCATGCTCGATTGAGATTAGTGAAATCAATGCAGAGCCGACATTTCCCATTAGTCTTCTTAACCACCACCACATTTGCCAAGCAGGTAGGGTAGTCCACCTCTCTGATGGCTTTGGCATGGAGGACTTTACTGACCTCCTTGTTAATTGCCTTATGGCGTTCCAGAGCAAAACTTCTCCGCTTCTGTTTAATAGGTTTGCAAATGGGATTCATGCTTAACTTGTGTGTGATGATTGAGGGGTCAATTTCTTCCATGTCTTCTTGCTTCCAAGAGAACACCCCTATGTTCTTCCTCAGGAACTAGGTAAGTAGGTCTTTCATTTCTTTGCTCAACTTAGATCCCACGTAAACAATATATTCAGGCTCTTCATCGAGCTGGACTAGCTCTAGCTCTTTTGACGGTATGGGCCTGGTGTCCAGCTCGTCTTTCATGTCAAGCTTATCTAGCTGGATAGTTTTAACCTTTTTCTGCTTCACCGAGGCCATGCAGCACTCCCTGGCTATTCGCTAGTCTACTCGGACCATTCCAACTGTATTTTCTGTAGAAATATTTATGACTAGGTGATATGTTGAGGGGATAGCCTTCATTGCGTTGAGGGATGGTCTCCCAAGTAATATATTGTACACAGAAGGGGCGTCAACTACTAGGAATTTCACAATGGTGGTGACTTGACAAGGAGGGTCCCCTATAGTGAGCACGAGTTGGATGGATCCCAGAGGTAACACCCTCTCCCCTGAGAATCCCATCAAGTGAGCATTCACTGGCTCAAGCTTCTCCCTTCCTACGTCTATTTTGTCAAAGGTAGAAGCGAAAATGATGTCGGCCAAGCTCCCCTTGTCAATTAGAATTTGATGAATAGTTTGGTTTGCCATAATGACCCTTATGACCAACGGGTCATCATAGGGATATTGACAGCCTTCCAAGTCTGAATCTGAGAAAGTGATGGTTATGCTCAGTCGAGGTATTTTGGACACGGTGTGTACTTCCAGCACTTCGCCAGCTCTGATCCTGCGCAGGTGTGCTTTCCTGGTTGCACTGGATTCTCCACTGCCAAAAAATCCTCCAGATATCATTCTGAGCTCCCCCAAGGGTTGCTGGTGCTGCGCAGGGGCTTGTTGCTGGGGTGCCGGTGGTGGTGAAGCCTTGTTTTGGTTGTCATGGGTGACAAATCGTCGTAACTGTCCCCTCTAGATCAAGAACTTGATCTCCTTCTTTAGCTAGATGCAATCGTCGGTATGATGGCCATGATCCCTATGATACTCGAAATATTTCGTAGGGTCTTTTTTAGACGAATCTGCCTTCATTCGTGGAGGTCATCTTAGAAATTTCTCATTCTGCACCTCGTATAGGATCTGGGACACTGTCGCAGTGAGAGGGGTATATTATTGAGGTGCATGCCTCGGTTGTAGTTCAGGCTGCAGAGGGCCTAAGCGGTCCCTAACGTTCCCTCTTATTTTTGGGGATCGCTCGTTGTCTCTTTTGGGAGATCTATCTCTCTTTGGAGATCTGTTTCTTTCCTTCTCTCTCCTGGGACTTGGGTTTCTCTTTTTCTCTTCCTTTCCCTTGTCTCTATGTGCGAAAGAGCTCCCTACCTTAGAAAGAAGAGCTTCTTTGTCGTTTATGTATTTTTTTTGATATGGAGAACATCAAATCTTTAGACTGCACCCCTAGACCAGCTATGAAGGCAGTGATAGCGAACTTTTCATCTGGGACATCCACCTTTAACGACTCCGAATTAAATTTTTGTACATATGACCTGAGATTTTCTTGTGGTCCCTGTTTCACATTCAAAAGGTGATAGCTCAGTTTTCTATAGGTTCGAGCCCCTATAAAGTGGGATACGAAGGAAATAGAAAGCTCTTTGAAGGAAGAGATTAAGGCCGGGGGGAGCCTGTTAAACCATGTCAAGGCTGAACCTTTCAAAGTGATGGCAAAGGCTCGACAGCGTATGGGGTCCTGATACCCATGCAATTCCATCTGGTTCTTATATATATTGAGGTGGTCCATGGGGTCCCTGGTTCCATCAAAGGACTTTATCTTTGGCATCCTGAACTTTGGTGGGAGGAAAAAATGAAACACCCCAGGCGTGAATGGAGATTTAGTCTGCAGTACCAAGGCGTCCATTGTAACTGGAGCTTTACTTCTGACTACTTCCTTCATGTAGCTGAGCTCCTGTTGGATGCCCTTGAAGCGTTGCTCCCAATATTGCTCCCTTCTTTCCTGCTGATAAGGGAAGACATCATTCTTTTCACCTTCATGTTTTTGACTTTGTACTTTCCCATTGTGGCCGTTCCTAGGGGGTAGTTGGGAAACCTGCCCCAAGGTCTGACTGTTCTCTCTCCCTTCGTTGTCTTCTCTAAGTGGATCAAGGTGTTGTTGATCCCAGTAGTGTGGACTGTTCTGACCTTCTTGGGGCGGACGTGCCTCTTGTGGGCGCTGTAAGAACTTCAAGAGCTCCTCGTTTTGCTTTATCAAGCGTTGATTGACGAGGCGAAGGGCCTCCATCTCATTATTTGTGGGGGCATTCCCCATGGAAGGATCAGTCTCTAGGACGTTCTTGGGCTGTCTGCCATTGGTGGCTCCCTGTTGGTCCTACATCCAAGATGAGTTTGTTTGTCTTTTGCTCATGTTTCGTGTTGACACCATCAGTCACTGAAAGATCAGCTTATTTGAAAACAGGAACAGTCTTTCCCATAGACTGCGCCAAACTGATGGTGCCAAACTAATGTGAGTGAATAGAGTGTGTGGGACCAATGGTGAAGTTAGGCTGCCAACTTTGTAATGACAGTGATTAAGTATTTCTTAGGCGATAGGGAAATTTGCGTAGTTGGAATATAGTGGTTTACCGGCTCTAGAGCTCGGCTAATCCACTCTCAAATGGAGGCTCTTGCTCCTTTCTTTCTCTACTGATTATTTGAATGTAATACAACACAGTGCACAATCCGATAAGGGTTCTTCTCTTTTTTCCTCCCCCTCTCGATAAGGCGTTACATAGTATTTATAAGGCTGCCCCCTATTTCCTAGGATTTCAGCCGAAATCTTTGTCTATTATTCATGGGAACCTCCTTGATTTTATGAAAGAATCTTGGTTGGTTGAGAGTTTCATGCATGAGACCTAATTTTCGCAGTCATCCAACTGTTTCCTAGTTGGTTCAGCTACGATCTCTCCAAGGGGAGCTCCACCCCTAATTCTTTGAATTTTTTGTATCTTTTTTGATTTTTTGACCTGACGTTACAGGTAGGACTTGTTTGAGGTATCGTCAAAATATATTTTAAGTAATTAAAATCAAGAGAGTTAGGTTGAAATTGCTTTTACTTGACGGTGTTTTGGCATTAACCAAGAAAAGCGAAGGGAAAAAAAATGGTGTGGAAAATGAAAAAACAAGAAGCCTGCTTTGGTGTCAATGGTCATCCACCGAAGCATTCTGCGGTGGGGGAAGTTCCACTGACGCTAATGGTGTAACTTATTGACACGTGGCACATGAACTGTGGAGGCAAGGCAATTGACAGATACCACCATAGACTCGCACCACCTACCGCTCAGGCTCCCGGGACACATTAACTCTTTCTTTGTTCTCTCTGTCGCGATCTCTCTCTGCAACTCAGCAATGTTGTCTTCAGATGGAGAAGAGAACAGCGACAGAGTTGGCAACAAAATATCATCGTCAACGTCAAAATCCTCATCAGCATCTTACTCATCTTCCCCACCATTCTCCCCTTCGTTACCCCTCCACCCGAACACGAGAGCCAAAAACATTGAAGAAGTATGGAAAGATATCAAGCTCGCTCCTCTCTATGATTACCTTTCTAAGGACGTTCGGCCCACCACCAACTTTCTGGGCATGATCTTCCAGGACTTCCTTGCTCCACCCTCTTCCAAAGAGCACCCACCAAGTGTACCTGGCTATGGCTCTCCAGCGCTACCCACGTTGAGTTCGGTTCCTGAATCACATTTCCTTGGCAACTCGGTTCCTCTTAGGCCAAACTCTATTTTACGGTCTCAACCTATTCCAAATATTTGCGGTAACGATGTGCCTGCTGCTATGGGTTCCTGTTTGGGTTTGTCGGCTAATGGCAAGAAAAGGTTCCCGGAGACTGACAACAACTCAGGCGACAGGCGCTATAAACGTATGATGAAGAACAGAGAGTCCGCTGATCGGTCAAGGGCTAGAAAGCAGGAATGTTTCTCTCTTCCATCTTCCTTATCTACGTTTCCTTTCTAAGTTACTTGCAAAGTTGGATATGCTCGTAATTATCTCAATCCCCTAAAGTCTTTAGCCAAGTTACTAGCTAACTTTGTTGTGAACTTCTGAGACTTTTCAATTGTTTAATAAAAGCCATAGGCGTCTGAGTGCGAATTCATAGAGTTGAATCTAACAGTTCTATGAAATTATGTGCTGATATATTTCTCTGCTTATTTTCCCTTTTTTTTCCCTCTCCATTTGGTGCTTTTTACAGGCATATACAAATGAATTGGAGCTCGAAATTGCTCATTTGATGGAAGAGAATGCTAGACTGAAGAAGCAACAGCAGCAGGTAGATTTACGAATGTACAGTTGGGACTTAGAGCATCTCCGAGATACTATTCAAAATAATTAATCAACATATATAAAAATATTACATTCTTTATTTTAAAGAGTTATTTTTACAAAATTATTCTAACTATATTCTTTATTTTAGCCAATTACTATTAATATTTTAAGTCAAAATATTGTCCTTGAAGTGCAAAAAGTGTTATTTTGCTCTCCAAATGTAAAATAGTTTGCCAGGGAGGCTAGCCAAATGTAGAGTCAGTTAGCCCAAATGTAAAAGAGATAGGCAAATAGATAGGCTCTTGTAATACAATTTTGTGGTTTGGCTCTTTATTTTAGCAAAACAAATGTCAAATAATTAGTCCAGTTAGAGATGCTCTGAGAATATCAGAAGCAAATAACCCTAAAAGCACCTGTCGCTCTAGTTTCCTAAGGCGAGCTTCAACATTTGTATACTGTCTATTGGGGTCTATTTTTTCATATTATTTGGTTTATTAATATTGTCTCTATTTTTTGGGCAGATATATGTAGCTGCAGGTGCTCAGCCAACTAAAAAGCCCTCTCTCCATCGAACGTTGACAGCACCATTTTGAGAAGCCTCAGTCTTGGTGGCTCTGTAGAAAGAGCGAAATATAGGGGGACTATTTAAGGATGATCACTACAATAGAAAGTGGTGTTTTTGCTTTCCAAACAAGCTAAAAATTTTGGTTAGTCTGTGCTTGCAATATTTTTTTAATATATTTTTTTTGGACTCGGCGTTTTTGGCCTTTTTCTCCATATCTATGTGGAGGGTTTGGGACTAAGTGGTTGTAAAGGCCAGTTATTTTGACTCAACCAATTGTACGGTTGATGTAGGAATTTGGTGGTTCATGGGAGTCTGGAACCACCTACAAGAAAGCTATTGTTTCTCAATCTTCAAATCAGTTGTCTTCAAATCAGTTGTCTGTGGAAATTAGGACTTAAAGAAGCACAATTCTTATGTCTTTTGCACATATGGTACATACTATAGAAATATCAGTAATGTTACGTTGACTAAATGTTAATAAGGGGTAATTATTTGAGGGGTAATTAATATTAACCATAAGAATGAAGGTTGATCCTCTTTCTTAGATTGAGGGAGTGGCTGGCATAATCAGGGCCAGCCCAATACCTAGGCTAAAGAGGCGATCATTTTAGGCCCCTTCTAAAATGTAGGCTTCATTTTTTATGAGTCTTAAAAAAACTTAAATAAAATTTAGTCCTAATAGAAGGGCCCATTTAGTTCAAACTAACAAAAGATTTTTAACGAAATTGGGCCCAAAAGTCCAAAAGTGTTTGTAGCATAGTAAAAGTAAAAAGTTCATAACTCATTCGGTTAAAAACATGAAATTTAACCCCAAAAAAAAATTATATGACTGCCACATGTAAAAATAAAAAAGATAATAATCAATACCATTAATTATTCTTTCTAACTGGTTGATTTATACAATTAATTATTCTTTCTAACTAGTTGATTATATCAATCAAACACACTCTTATGTCTCTCTTGTTAAAACATCGACTCCCCTCTCTCTCTCTCTCACAAGCAAACAAAAATAATTTTTGTTTCCATCTAAAAATAAAATAAAGGATTCTCTCTCATTTTTGTTTTGTGACCGCCTTTCTAATTCACACGACAAAGGTCATCAAATCAGCCCCAAAAATTTATTATTACTCGTTCTATTTTACAATGTTATTTTGTACAAAATATAATTCCAATCAACTTATTATATTTGTTTTATTTTTTTTATAGATGATATTAAAGGAGAATTACATTATAATATCCTAAGTTTCAGGAATACTAATGATAAAATTAAGTGTTATTGTTTTAAAATTTTGATTTTTATTAATTATTTTTCTTATAGAGAGTATTTGATGATTGATTTATAAAAAAAATTAGATTGTCAAAAAACAGTGGGTACTAAAAAACAATAATTCAGATATGAGAAACTTAAAAAAACAGAGAAAAATAGAAAAAAGCTTATTGAATCACAAAAAAAAAAGGTCTCTTAATAATTTTTTTAATTAGTAATAAAAAAATAACACAAAATTTAAGTGAAATTTTAAAAATTAACAATTGATAGATCTTAAATAGTTAGAAGATATTGAAATTATATGATGAAAAAATAACAAATAAAATTTATATGATGATGGTCAAAAATGTAATAAAATAATTCTTGATCATGAAGAACATACAAAAAAATTATTAGTAATTTTGAATTTTAAAAAATTAAATAAAAAATATATTAATAATAAAAAATAAAACTAAAAGTCCCACTTAAAATATTTGCTTTAGGCCCCAAACCAGGTGGGGCGCCATTGGGCATAATAGTGCTGCAGTCATGGTGAGTGAACTGGGAGCTAATGGCGACCTCTTCTTCCCACGTTCTAGTTAAAAATAAGAGTAGACTTGTTGGTTAGATTCTTATTATAGCATGCCTGAGTAGGGTTGGCAGTGGATCGAAGTCAGAGTTGAGGTGTAGTCTTCATTTTCGTATCTGCTTAAAAAAATTTCGTCCATTCTCGATCCACCCCTATTAACGGATATAATTTTCATCTTTATTTTCGTCTGCGGATAAATTTGTAATATCCGCCCTAGCCTCCGTCCACCTTACCTTCCCAAGCTCAATTCCAAGCCCAAAACTAAGTAAACATAATTCAAAATTCTAAATAAATCTTACATTTTAAATAAGTCAACATAATTATAGAATATCATGACATAATTAAAATTTTGTCATCTACAACTTAATCTAACATAATATAATTAAAACTTTTTCTACAACATAATCCAACATAATATAATTAAAATTTCTCTCATGTAAATCTAGCACAACATCAAGTAACATAACATAATGTAACACAACATAATGTAACATAATATAATCTAACATAAAAACACAAAGATATATATTTTTATAAGTCAAAAAGATGAAAAGAAATCAAAAAACAAAATAATTTCAAAAAAAAAAAATTATTCAATAATTTGTAGATTTGTATTTACAATATGTATATAATAACAATAATAATAATAATAACAACAGGTAAAGCGGAGAGGGACAGGGGCGGGGTCAAGTGTTAGTATATCTCCGTTTTTATCCGTGCACGAGTTTATACGAGTATCTTCATATAAATTCATCGTCTAATACGTATAGTCTATCTCCGATCTAACACCGGACTAGTTTGGACGAATATTTATTTTTACTCAGTTCATTGTCATCCCTAAGCTTGAGCAACTCCAACCCAATCTGAATTTCCATTTCTTAGGTATTTTACCTAGCTTAATACTAAAAAACTCTCCAACCAACTCTCTATTTTCTATTTCACCTATTGGACTCTTCAAATCTCAGGTTACTCTCTCTCTCTCTTTGTGTTCAATCAACTTTCTCTTTTGTCATTGCACTAGTTTTGATCCAACCCAATCTGAATTTCCCATTTCTTAGGTATTTTACCTAGCTTAATACTAAAAAACTCTCCAACCAACTCTCTATTTTCTATTTCACCTATTGGACTCTTCAAATCTCAGGTTACTCTCTCTCTCTCTCTTTGTGTTCAATCAACTTTCCCTTTTGTCATTTCACTAGTTTTGATTTTCTAGCTTTTTTTGTATTGACTCTTCCTCTTTCTATCTCATTGATTCACTAAAATTTCATAACAATTTGACAAGAAAAACCTAAAATTGATTTCATTTCTCTTTTTGGTTATATTTTGAATTAAATACGACCATTAAAAATATGACGATGATGTGATAGGTTACGTAAATTTTTCGATACAAATTATTAAAAATTAGTTAAAATAGTTTGTTAGAATAGAGAATAGTTAAAATAAATTTTTAATGACTTTTTAAAATAGAGAATATTAATATTTAAATATATTTTAAATAATTAAAATAGGGAGTTGGGATGGATGTGCTGATCAAAATTATCCCTGGTGGAACCTCTTATTTAACTCCGAGGTAATTAGATCTCCTCTTCGACACTTCTTGCATTTTAAGCTGAACTGACAGATTTAGACTTAACACATCAACGGCTCTTCAACATTAAGGTCTACAGTAACTGCGCTGGGCATGGGTTGATTTGGTTGTCTTCCGATACCGAGGTGACAGCTCGACATGCTTTGTTGGGCACGTGTCGCCAGTTTCAAAATTTTTCTGTCGTCCAGTCTTTACTTTTTTTGTTTTTTAAACAGGATTCAGTCTTCACTTTCAACTGTTTATTTTATCATGTAAAAGACGGAAAAAAGTCATTTTAGAAATCTCCCGCACTTCGTGTTCATTGGCTTCCCCGAATTCTATTCTTTTGCTCTAGGATCTTTTGCTCTAAGATCTTTTGCGTTTACTCAAATTAATTGCAATGTCTCGATTTCTTCAAATCCTTCGCATGGAAGACTTAATTGGTGAAGTTCCAATCTTGAAGCTTGCTGAAATTCGTATAGGTTCTAGGTAATATCTTATTTATGTTAAAAAAATGGTTTTTGACAAAGTGTATTTAAGCAACTTTGAATTTCAATTAAAGTTGAATTCACACCACGAAATTTGTGGAACCAAATTTAAACACATTATCCTCCGTGAAGAGATGAATGTGATATATTTATTTATTTAAGATAATTAAAATTTGTTTGAAAAATTATATTTGAAAATAACCCACTTAACTTGATGGAATAGGTTAAGATTTGTGTAGTGTGGGATGCTTGTCCTACGTGGGAAGAATGCCAATAAATTGGTGTATTTATATACTCTTAATTTGACATTTGGATTAGAGCCTTTAGGGCTTCACAATTTTGCGAGCAGCTGAGCACCTATACAAACCTTGGATTATTACACACGCCGCGTACCTGCTTCGCCATGACCTAACCGGGCTTAAGCCTTAGTCTTTGGAAAGACATTTATAGGCAGTTGCTCGTCTTAAGATGATTGTCTAATTGTGGTTATATAAGGATCGAATTGTATATTTGGTTTTTTTAATTTGATTGTGATTGTATTGATTTTGCTTACTTTTTTTTTTTTTTTTTCTGTTTTTACATAATTTAAATTTCTGTTATGTTGTTGCATNTGTTTTTTTTTTTATTTTTTTTTTTTTTTTTTTTTTTTTTTTTCTGTTTTTACATAATTTAAATTTCTGTTATGTTGTTGCATAATTTAAATTTAAAACAGTACAATATAATCTAATAATATACATAATTTATATAACAACTAGTTATTGTCTGTGCTTGAAGGCACAGAGTAATAAAAAATATTAAACAATAAACATATTTGTATGCATATCCAAAATCAAATTACAAACATATAGAAGAGATAAAAAAAATTTAAACATTGATTTTGTAGTGGGGGTGAGAGGTAGTGGGCGGCAGTAGTGGTGATAGGAGATAATGATAATTGTGGTGGGTGACAATGACCATAGTGGCGGTGGTGGCAACGAGGGCGACGACAACGACGGTGGTGGTGGCAGTGATGGTGGTGGTTGTGGTGGCGGTGGTGACGATAGCAACAACAGCGATGGTGGGGGTGGTGGTGGCGGTGGGGGTGGTAGTGGTGGTGGCGGCGATGGTGGTAGTAGTGGCGACGACGATGATGGTAGTA